AAAACGGGGCTTTTTTCCCATCACGGCCCCCCCCCCCCCAAAAAAAAGAAATAATTTGTGGATTAAATCTTGCCGCCCCCAAACAGACAGATTTCAAACTGCCAAATGAAGGTCTTTACCGGGTCCGGCATCGATCGACCTTATCTGCTTGCCCGTTTCCAAGTCCCAAATGCGGATGTGGGCGTCCAGAGAGCTGGAAGCCGCGATGGTTCCGGTGTGGCTGATATCCACCGAGACCACCCCCAGCTGATGGCCTTCCAAAGTCCACTTGAGGTCCAGTTTCTCATCGTTCCTTTTGCAAAAGTAACAGGAAATCATATTAAAAAGAAGAAGAAAAGAGGAGATTGGATTTATACCCCACCCTTCACTTGGAGTCTCAGAGCGGCTTACAAACTCCTTTCCCTTCCTCCCCCCACAACAGACACCCTGTGAGGTAGGCGGGGCTGAGAGAACTCTGACACAAACTGCTCTTTTTCAAGGACAGCTGTGCCAGAGCTTGTGACTGACCCAAGGTCACACCAGCAGGTGCAAGTGGAAGAGTGGGGAATCAAACCCGGTTCTCCCAGATTAGAATCCGCACACTTAACCACAACACCAAAGATGTAAGTGGGGGTTGTCTGCGGTCACGATACAGCCATCATCAAACCGTTCGCGTTCAGTTCTTCCCTAGTGCTCAATTGATTATGGTTTTCATTTCATCATCTCCCCCCCCCCCCCAATCCATGGATTTCAGACTTATTTTTTTAAAGGGTCAGACAAACGACCTATGATCTCTGGCTGGCTTTTAAAAATACAGGAATACTGTATAATGGATAAACTGTCAGATCTCTTGTTATAGAATGAAACAGAACCTTACACTTCAAAATTTGTGAAGCTATGGTTTCCAGTTCTAGAATACTTAGCATCTCGTAAAGAGTTTAAATCTACTTTAGATGCCATAAATGCTATATATTGATTTTTATTGCTCTTTATTATAATGTTACCTGTTGTTCCTTAGCATTTATCTAATCGTTCGCATTGTAGGGTGATTCCTGTTGTTAATTGTTTCTGTATTGTTTGTACTTCACTTGAAGGAGTTTTTTTTACTTTTTCTGTATCTATATTTATTTCAATAAAGTTTAATGACATTAAAAAAAAACAACCTCGTGCCCCCCCATGGAATTCAGACTTATTTTTTTAAAGGTGAGATTGTTACATACACATACCAGTCAAAGTTTCCGGCATGCGCACGCGATCCAGGGTTACATACGCATACCAGTCAAAGTTTCCGGCATGCGCACGCGATCCAGGGTTGGGTTATATTTATTTCATTTATATACCCTGCCTTTTCTCCCCAATGGAACCCGAAGCGGCTTACGCCTTCATCCCCCCCGCCATTTCCCCCACACAACAGCCCTGCGAGGTAGGGTCAGGCCGAGGACACGTGATCAGCCCAAGGTCGCCCAGCGAGCTTCCACGGAAGAAGTGGGAATTCGAACCCAGTTCTCCCAGATCCTAGTCCGACATTCCAGCCGTTACGCTTTGCTGGCTCTCAGTCTTAATGCTTATCTTATTATTATTATTATTATTATTATCATCATTATTGTATGGCCTTGTGTGTAGTATAAACAGGAGATTCTAAGATTCTGACAGCCCAAAAAATTTAATTGCAACGCTATTGTTGGTAGCTAAAAAAGTAAGTGCCTCTCATTGGAAGGCCTCCCAGCTACGTGGGGTGAATGAGTGGTATGTGTGTCTGTGGGACTATTTAATTTTTGATAATCTAGCGGGTGTTGAGAGGTGAAATGAGTATCCTATGGTTGAGTCAAGCTTCCTGAATAAGCAGTACCCAGTACTGGAAAAACGTCTAAAGAATGTGGATTCCCCGTATTCCTTTAGCAATCATTGTTATTTCAGATTTATTTCATTCATGTAACAATTAAGTTTTGTATAAGGTAGTACTGAAGTCTGCCTAGTAGTATAGGTTGTTTTTTTTTTTAATTGCCTGGCATCCTGAAGTTCTAGCTCTTTTTGCGTTATGTACCACTAGGTGGCGAGCTAGACTTATTATTTTTGGGGCTGAGAGAGCTCCAAAAGAGCTGTAACTGACCCAAGGTCACCCAGCTGGCTTCATGTGGAGGAGTGCGGACTCAAACTCGGTTCTCCAGACCGGAGTCCGTCGCTCTTCAACCACTCCACCACACTGGCTCCCATTCTTACCTTAAGACTGCAGAGACAGGGGCGCGCAAATCCCCACCTTCCAAGGGCTTCCACCAACCTCTTTACATTCGCAGAACTCACCATTTCCAGACTTTCACCAGGTCATCCAAGGAGCCGGAGATCACCGTCTCTGAACCGTCGTTTCGGTTTTTGCCCCAGGTGACTGACCAGATGGCATCGTCGTGCGCTGGGAAAGGACACAAACGTTGGCAAGAAAGAACGAGGGGCTCTGACCAAAACGGAACGCATTTAACTACCCTAATTTTGTCTTGTCTTGTACACAGAGATAAGAAACACAATTAAAATGGGGGGGGGGCTTTTTCGGAAAAGGAGCGGACCTTGGCGCATCTATTAGCCTGGATGCCATCTTGACCGCCCTCACGGGGGACTCTCCCAAGTCTCTGGGTCAACGGTGGGGTTCACCCCAAGGGGCACCCGTGTTACGAGGTTCTGCCTCCGTACTGGCCGCCCCGCCAAGAAGAGAAACGAAACATTTATATATTTTATTCTATTTATATCCTGCCCTCCCCGCAAGTGGGCTCAGGCCGGGGTTACCGGCCATGCTCCCTCTGAGCTGTGGAGTCCTGTGAGCAGAAGTCCTGCTTTGTGAGCGACCGGCATGAAAGTTGTGAGCCAGCCATTTGGCGGCTGCATCCATTGTAGTCTGCCGGGGAGCCCTCCGTCCCGAGGGGAGACAGAAATGTGTGAGCCGGAGGCTAAAAAACGGTGAGCTGGCTCACACTAAACTCAGCTTAGAGGGAACACTGGTGACAATAAAACAATCGGGCATCACAGAGATTACAGAATTAAAATTGTTAAAGTTAATGACACCAGCGTAAGATATGGCCTTGGTAGTGACGCTACGATATACTTCGGAGTTGTGTGGCGATGCTGACCACTAGACACAAAGCCAGGGCTACTGGCAGTGCTCCCTCTCAGCCGAGTGAGTGTGAGCCAGCTCACCGTTTTTTAGCCTCAGGCTCACACATTTTTTTTGTCTTCGCTCGGGAAGGAGGGCTCCAGGGCAAACTGATTTATGCCGCGGCCAGATCACTCACAACTTCAATGCCAGTCGCTCACAAAGTAGAATCTTCGCTCACAAGACTCCACAGCTTACAGGAAGCATTGGCTACCGGTAGGGGAGGCCGAGAGATGGAAGGATTTGGACGCCCGCCCCCTCAACCAAAAGCCCAGCGGGACGGCTCCATCTTACAAGCCCTGCGAAATCGCAGTGGATCCCGCAGGGCCCTGATCTCAGTTGGTAGCTTGTTCCGCCAGCCTGGGGCCGGGAAGGTTCTGCCTCTAGTTGAAGTTAGTCGGACGTCATTCGGGCCAGGGACAACCAGGAGGTGCTGGTCCATTGAGCGCAAGGCTCTACGGGGCACAGATGGGGAGAAAAACGTCGCGAAACAGAGGTGTGTTTGCCAATACGAGCATCGACCCTAGCCCACATGATACTAATTCCCAGGGGTCATTTCCTGCAGGAGCACACAGGAGCGGAGCTCCGTCAGTAAAGAGCCCAGGGGGGCGGGCACATGCAACAAGCCCCGCCCCCTGCTCCCAGCAGCCCTGGGCCATGAGGAGCAAGAAGCAGCCAGGTAAGTTGCAGTGGGTGTTGCCTTCTGACACACTTCCGGCGATGTCAGGGGGTATGGCATATGCAAATAAGTTATCCTAATGAGTTATGCTAATGAGCTCCTGCACCTCTTTTCCTACGGAATGACCCCTGCTAATACCGTTGCGGCCCAATTCCCAATCAGACATACCACGTTTCTCACTGGGCTTCAGGAAATCTCTGGGACGAGAGTGTGAGAGTGTTTAAGACAGGGGTTCCCTAACGTGGTGCCCAAAAAGTGTTTTTAGAAAATGGGCCAGGTGGGGCTTTGGCCCGGCAGGGCTTCTCACGGCCCGCTGGAGATTTTTATTAGTTGCGCAGATTTTAAAAAATGTCACTTTGGCGGCAGCTGCTACCACACCACAAGGATCTTCACTGCCACCACACTGCGGCCATTTTATGGCTCACTCCGCCTCCTGCGGCAGCCATTTTGTGGCTGCACCCTTCACGCCATGCCAGAATTCCAGAGGTGCCCACAAGGTTCGCAAAGGTTGGGAACCCCTGGTTTAAGACATTCTCGCCCAGCTTTGAGCTCCAATTTTCCAGGAGAAAAGAAGCCTAAAAGCATTTGATCTTTTTTAAAAAAGAGAGGTTCCCCCCTCCCTCCCAATTTGGATGTCACAGGCAAACAAGCTGGGCCCGCTTCACAAGGGCAACTCTTCACATCTACGATGCGAGGAAAGAGAGATTTCCAACGAGATGCGAAGCCATAAGAACAGGAAGCCCTCCTCACCTTGTTCTTGCTTGAACAGAATACTGTACTGAAAAGGGAGGAAAAAGGACTGTTATAAAGTAAGGGATGGGTATTCAGATGTTATGTTATCAAACAAGATCTGCAAATCCTCCACTCCTTAACCCGAATTTGAAATGTTAACAACAGCGGGTAACATTCAGAAAAAACTTGGTCGCTATTCTGGCAAGAAAATTGGATCAAGAAAAGGGGGGGGGGAGTTTCCAGAACATACATAACTGACAAAGACCTTAACCGATCAGCAGAGTCACACACAGATTTTCCGACCAAACACAATTTCACTGATAATTCTGTTTTCCTGTAGCATCATTTAAACCAGTGACATTGCCAGGTCAGAAGGAAGGCTTTCATTCAATTCTACAGAAGCACAGAGGATCCAGGTCTGCTTGCCATTCCGTTCTGCTTGCACACATTCTGCTTGCACACACTGACATACAGCCAGGCAGCACAGCAGACGGGGAGGAGGGGGTTGTTCTTGTGTTTTGGGAAATGATGTGGGGGGGCAAGTGAGGAGTAAGACAAATGCCCACTTGGTCCCTCTCCCCACCAGCTGCCAGCAAAACAACAACTGGGATCGCGGCGGATATCGATACAAGAGAGAGTGGTGAAAACCCTGAACAAGCAAATATCATAAATAATTAACTTTAAAATAAACTGTAAGTTAAATGAAACACAACAATTTGTGAGTCTATTATAATCCAATTACATACAAATCTATTAGGTAAAGGTTTCCCTCACTCAAAAGCCAGTCAAATCCAACTCTAGGGATGCGGTGCTCATCTCCGTTTCCAAGCTGAAGAGCCAGCGCTGTCCGAAGACGTTTCCGTGGTCATGTGGCCAGCAAGACTAGACGCCGAGGCGCACGGAACGCTGTTACCTTCCCACCGAAGCGGTACCTATTTATCTACTTGCAGTTTCTTGCTTTCGAACTGCTAGGTTGGCGGGAGCTGGGGCCAGAGACGGGAGCTCACCCCGTCAGAAGGCACTCAGATCTCGAACTGCTGAACTACCAACCTTCCGGTCTGCAGCTCAGCGTCTTAACCACTGAGCCACCGCAGCACATATAATACAAAACCCCATCCTGAATATGAATAATATCCAAAGCTGGCATCAATATTAAGTATCTCTAGGTTCACCTTGACCGAAGAAAACTTAAATAAGAGCCCTCATGCCGGGCTGAGATTCATTATTTTTACGGCCCAGCATGAGGACACTTATTTAAGTTTTCTTCGGTCGAGGTGGACCTAGAGACACTTAATACTGACGCAAACTTTGGATATTGTTCATATTCTGGATGGGAGTGTGTATTATATGTGTGTAATAAATTTATGTTTGATTATAGGTAAAGGTAACGCAACAGTGGCCACAGGATTGGAAAAGATCAGTATACATTCCAATCCCAAAGAAGGGCAACGCCAAGAAATGTTCAAACTATCGCACAATTGCACTCATATCACACGCTAGCAAGGTCATGCTCAAGATCCTACAAGCTAGGCTTCAACAGTACGTGGATAGAGAACTACCAGAAGTACAAGCGGGGTTTCGAAGAGGTAGAGGAACTAGAGATCAAATTGCCAACATTCGCTGGATTATGGAGAAAGCAAGAGAGTACCAGAAAAATATCTACTTCTGCTTCATTGACTATGCTAAAGCTTTTGACTGTGTGGATCACAACAAACTATGGCAGGTCCTTAAAGAGATGGGAGTACCAGACCACCTCACATGTCTCTTGAGAAACCTGTATAAGGGTCAAGAAGCGACAGTTAGAACCGGATATGGAACAACTGATTGGTTCAGCATAGGAAAAGGAGTACCTGTATAAGGGTCAAGAAGCGACAGTTAGAACCGGATATGGAACAACTGATTGGTTCAGCATAGGAAAAGGAGTACGACAAGGATGTATATTGTCGCCTTGCTTATTTAATATATATGCAGAGTACATCATGCGAAATGCTGGCCTGGATGAATCACAAGCGGGAATTAAGATTGCTGGGGAAAAGATCAACAACCTCAGATATGCAGATGATACCACTCTAATGGCTGAAAGTGAAGAGGATCTAAAGAGCCTCTTGCTCAGAGTAAAAGAGGAGAGCGCAAAAGTGGGCTTGAAGCTCAACATCAAAAAAACTAAGATCATGGCATCCGGCCCCATCACTCCTTGGCAAATAGAAGGGGAAGCTGTGGAAGTAGTGACAGACTTCACGTTCCTGGGATCCCAGATCACCGCAGACTGTGACTGCAGCCATGAAATTAAAAGACGCCTGCTCCTTGGGAGGAAAGCGATGGCGAACCTAAACAGCATGATAAAAAGTAGAGACATCACCCTGCCAACAAAAGTCCGCATGGTCAAAGCAATGGTATTCCCAGTAGTCATGTATGGCTGTGAGAGTTGGACTATAAGGAAGGCCGAGCGCCGAAGAATAGATTCTTTTGAACTATGGTGCTGGAGAAGACTCTTGAGAGTCCCTTGGACTGCAAGAAGAACAAATCAGTCAATCCTCAAAGAAATCAACCCTGACTGTTCCCTGGAAGGCCAGATAATGAAACTGAAGCTCAAATACTTTGGCCACCAAATGAGAAGGGAGCACTCACTGGAGAAGACCCTGATGCTTGGAAAGATTGAAGGTCAAAGAAGACGGGGACGGCAAAGGATGAGATGGTTAGACAGTGTCACTGGGGCTTTGGAAGCAGAAGAGAAGAGATTGGATTTATACCCCGCCCTTCACTACCCAAAGGTGTCTCAGAGCGGCTGACAAACTCCTTTCCCTCCCCCTCCCCACAACAGACACCCTGTGAGGCAGGCGGGGCTGAGAGAGCTCTGATTGAGACTGCTCTTTTTCAAGGACAGCTCTTATCAGAACTAGGGCTTGCCCAAGGTCATCCAGCCAGGTGCATGTGGAGGAGTGGGGAATCAAACCCGGTCTTCCCAGATTAGAGTCTGCGCACTTAACCACTACGCCAAACCGGCACTTAACCACGACACCAAACTGGAAGATGTCTAAAGCCACCTCTGCCTCTAGCAGGTGCAGATTTCTGGTACCTGCCCCTTTAGACACAAGCGCGAGGATTCAGAGATAAGAACCTCTTTCGCATGTATTATCTGCACCCAGAGATAAAGCGTCCTCAGATTGCCCAAGGCATGCCTTTGCTCACTGCCTGAGAACTTTAATGGTCTTCTTCTACCTGCTTGAACTTTGGTAGAGAACACCAGAACACACATGAAGCTGCCTGGTACTGACTCAGACATTTGGTCTATCAGGGTCAGTATTGTCTACTCAGACTAGCAGCAGCTCTCCAGGGTCTTGGGTTGAGGTCCTTCCCATCACCTACTGCCTGGTCCTTTTAACTGGAGATGGTGGGGATTGAACCTGGGACCTTCTGCATGCCCAGGAAAGGCTCTACCCCTGAGCCAGGGTCTCAGGTCCAGGTCTTTCCCATCACCTGCTGCCTGGTCCTTTTAACTGGAGACGCCGGGGATTGAACCTGGGACCTTCTGCATGCCCAGCAAAGGCTCTACCCCTGAGCCAGGGTCTCAGGCAGAGGTCTTTCCCATCACCTCCTGCCTGGTCCTTTTTAACTGGAGATGCCAGGGATTGAACCTGGGACCTTCTGCATGCCAAGCAGAGGCTCTACCCCTGAGCCAGGGTCTCAGGCAGAGGTCTTTCCCATCACCTACTGCCTGGTCCTTTTTAACTGGAGATGCCAGGGATTGAACCTGGGACCTTCTGCATGCCAAGCAGAGGCTCTACCCCTGAGCCACAACCCCTCCCCCAAGATCCCTTGGTTGAGGGACACAAATAATTTCATCCCAATTGGACAGGAAAGGGGAGGCAGGTAAAGACAGAGTTGTGCTTTCTACTGAAATAAATGAAAACAAACACGTGCAACCAGTTTTAAGAAAAGTTCTGAAAGCGGGGTGGGAAAATGTGCACGCATCCCTATAACAAAGTGCTAAACATGAATTGGGGAAACTAAGCCGTGGCTCTGGAGTGCTCACCTGTGTCGTCATTTCTTCATAGAGACCAAACCGGTACAGAAATGCTCTGAGGAGGAAAAAGAGGTTTGGTTTAGAAACCAGACGACTTAGAAACAGTCCCGGTTCGGTTGAGTCTCCCAGTCTGCAGCTGAGATACAAAAAGACAGACTCGTAAGGAGCCTTGCAAAACACATTCCATATTTAAATAAAAAATGAAAAAAATAGACAGCATTGTAAAGCTGGAAGCCAAAAATGAGAGATAACAGGAGGAAGTGGCAACCCAACAACAACATCTGTGACAAAAATAACGAAGAGTCGATAAAGATATGTTGCAGAATCATTTACTGTAGTAATTCCGTAGCAGCTTAGTAAGGCTAGCAGAGAATGACTCTCCTAGGAGGAAAAGGGGACAGAAGGACAACAGCCCTCATTGAAGACTTTCTCCAAATCTCTTAGTTTGCATGTGATCTTTAATTAATGAACATAAGAACATAAGAGATGCCAATGTTGGAGCAGGCCAAAGGCCCATCCAGTCCAACACTCTGTATCACAGTGGTCAGAAATACCAGTGCCATCAGGAGGTCCAGCAGTGGGGCCAGGACATTAGAAGACCTCCCACTGTTGACCCCCCACACACAAGCACCAAGAAGACAGAGCATCACTTGCCCCAGAGTCCCTATCTATACCTTGTGGCTAATAGCCACTGATGGACCTCTGCTCCATATGCTTATCTAATTCCCTTTTGAAGCCGTCCATGCCTGTAGCCGCCACACTTCCTGTGGCACTGAATTGCAAGTGTTAACCACTCTTTGGGTGAAGAAGTACTTCCTCTTATCCATTCTAACCTGACCACTCAGCAATTTCATGGAGTGCCCACGAGTTTTATTTTTTTCCCCCAGCACCATCCCATAACAGCCAGCTTCTTCTTGACTATCAGAGAATCAGCAGTTGAAACAGAAATGTTGGGTGGGGGGGGCTTTGTTTGGTTTTGATGGAGTGAAAGTTCAGTGGATGACACAATACCCAGGATTCAAAGAAGTGTACAGCTGGTTCTGCATGCCCCAGGTGGCTTTGATCTGATTTCTTTTTAAAAGACAGGGTTGTCACTGCCAAATGGAGACAAGGAAAACAACGTAAGTTGCTTTGAGTCCCCGCTGGGGAGAATGCTGGGGTATAAATGAAGCGAATAACTAAATGGGGACCCAACGCGCCTTATGTCGTTTCTCTCTCCATTTTATCCACACAACAACTTTGTGGGGTAGGCTGAGAGCGTGTGACTGGCCTAAGGACACCCAGCAAGCTTCCTGGGTCTCCCCGATCCTAATTCGACCCTCTAACCACCACACCACATCGCCAAACATTACGAATAGAAATAAAGGCACAGGCTTTCATGTTTAATTAGTAGTGCCCTGACTATTTCCATTACTGTCGCCTTCACTGTTGTAACTGTTTGGTGTAGTGATTAAGAGCAGCGGACGCTAACCTGGAGAACTGGGTTTGATTCCCCACTCCGTCACATGCAGCCAGCAGGGTGACCTTGGATCAGTCACGGGTCTCTCAGAGCTCTCTCAGCCCCACCTACCTCACAAGCAGTGTTCCCTCTGAGCTGAGTGAGTGTGAGCTAGCTCACGGTTTTTTAGCCTCCGGCTCAGACATTTTTGTCTCAGCTCAGGAAGGAGGGCTCCAGAGCAAACTAATTGATTCAGCAGCGAAATCGCTGACTCACAACTTTAATGCCAGTAGCTCACAAAGCAGAATTTTTGCTCACAAGACTCTACGGCTTAGAGGGAGCACTGCTCACAAGGTGTCTGTTGTGGGAAGAGCAAAGGAAAGAGATTAGAGTAGAATAACATCTAAACACTTCACGGGGAATAACATCGAAGCACTTTCATTTGAAAGCATTTCATTCGTTTGATTCTTAACTGCCGCCAGTATTGTGTAATTTTGTAATGTACTAATTTAAATGTTGTGTTTTAATTTTGTGTTATTTATGCTTTCATTCTGTATTGTTGTACTTGCTGTTGGAAGCCGCCCTGAGCCTGCTTTGCGGGGAGGGCGGGGTATAAATTTGACTTGTTGTTGTTCAGTCGCACAGTCAAGTCCGACTCTTCGCGACCCCATGGACCAGATCCCGCCAGGCCTTCCTGTCTTCTGCTGTCCTCTGAAGTTTGCTATAAATTTGACTATAAATAAATAAATAAATAAATAAGGTTCCCAGCTCCACCAGGTGGGGCTGGAAGTTCTCCCAGGACTACAGCTGGTCTCCAGACCAACGTTCCCTCTAAGCTGAGTGTGAGCTAGCTCACAGTTTTTTAGCCTCCAGCTCACAGATTTTTGTCTTTGCTCAGGGAGGGACGGCTCCAGAGCAAACTAATTTATGCAGTAGCTGAATCGCTCGCTCACACGTTTAATGCCAGTAGTTTACAAAGTAGAATTTTTGCTCACAAGACTCCACAGCTTAGTGGAACATTGCTCCAGACCACAGAGACCAGTTCCCCCAGAGGAAATGGCAGCTCCGGAGAGCAGATCTTATGGCATCACATCCCAACTGAGGTATCTCCCTGTCTCAGACTCCAAAATGTCACAAAGCACAACCCCCAAATCTCCAGAAATTTCCAAAGCCGGAGTTGGCAACCCCTACTTCCAACCACTGTTCCCTCTAAGCTGAGTTAGTGTGAGCTAGCTCACAGTTTTTTAGCTTCCAGCTCACACATCAGGGAGGATGGCTCTAGAGCAAACTAATTTATCCACCAGCCAAATCCCTCACTCACAACTTTAATGCCAGTAGCTCACAAAGTAGAATTTTTGCTCACAAGACTACACAGCTTAGAGGGAACACTGCTTCCAACCACCCTCCTCAAACACCAGTGCAGAAAAGAGCATTTTGTCAGGTCCATCTTCTCTCTCTCTCCCTGGCGGCTAGCTAAACTTTACCCACCCGCATTTAAAAAACCGATCATTTAATAATGATGATGAGAACAATAACAACAGCCCCTCCAGGGAGGAAGGAGAAGATAGTAAGGTTGCCAGCTCCAGGTTGGAAATTCCTGGAGGTTTGGGGGTTGAACCTAGGGAGGGCAGGGGGCTCAGTAGGGCATAATGCCATAGGGAGTCCACCCTCCAATGCAGCCATTTTCTCCACAGGAACTGATCTCTGTCGCCGGGCAATGAGCAGGAATTCCGGGAGATCTCCAGGTCCCACCTGGAAGCCGTGGAAACTCGAGCTGCAGTGTTAGAAGCGTCAAACGACAAATATATACACTGCAAAAACCTTTTTTATAAGTTAAAGTGTTCTATATGTTCCATCTTATAAAGTGCATTGTGTATTATTCATGATATTCTAAAACAGGTACATATATATATATTCATTACATGCAATAGCAACAATAATAATCAGTTTGTACAACCTAATAGCTACCAGTCAATTTACATTCTTCTTACACAATCAATTGACTGGTAGTTATTACATTGTGAAAAGGTAAAGGTAAAGGTTCCCTTAAGCTAGGCTTGCAGTGCTCATCTCCGTTTCCAAGCCGAAGAGCCAGCGCTGTCCGAAGACGTTTCCGTGGTCATGTTATTAGATTGCACAAACTGATTATTATTGTTGATGTTGCATGTAATGCATACATACCTGTTTTAGAATATTATGAATAATGCACAATGCACTTTATAAGATGGAAAATATAGAACTTATTTATATAAAAGAAAAGGTTTTGCAGGGTATATATTTGTTGTTTGACCCACCTGGAAGCTGGCAACAGAAACAGCGTCTGGAAACAGGGAAGCCCTGCTGTTGCTATGGAGACGCGGCCTGCTACGCCAAGCCAGGCCCGAACCCTCCCCAGGCGGCCGTTTCGCCTTCTACCCCCTCGTCCTTCTCCCGGCCAGGAGCCCAACTCACCACCGCCCGCTCCCAAGGCTGCCGCCAACGCTCTTCTTTCTGAACTCAAAAAAGCGACGGCGCCTTTTGATGACGAAACGCTCCACCACCGAGATACCAGGCTAGAGTGCCCCTCGAGTCGCAGAGTCCCGCTGGACGACGGAGTCTCCGGGACACTTTGCTGCCACCTGGTGGCGGGGAGAGGAGGCGCAGTTGTTGCTTGGCTCGTTCTCGCTGCGCTTGGATTGGCGCGTGGGAAAAAGAAGCGATTTTGGAGAAAGAAAAGGATTTTACGGCTTTCTCTCCTCGTCCGTTTTGTTTATAACATGCATTTATCATCTCAGGAGTGGTCCCTTCCCCCTTTCCGGATCATTTAATCCGGATTACACTCCCTCTGCTTCAGTTGTTGAATCCAGATCGATTCTTTATCCTCTTTTTCTCCCGTTAAATCCTCTGGCCTATGTGATTCTTTGCTCCAGATAATTTAAATGCAAATTATAGTCTTTATTTTCCGATTATTCCATACCCTAGGCGTCTGTATTCAGACTAAATACCTTCTCATGTTCTATTCCACATGACTGCATCTGGGCTGAAATGCTCCATCTGCAAATTCTTTACAACATTCCTTTTCTTTATTTTTTAAAATTCCCTTATTGAAAATTTGTGAACCCGTCTTTCCCCCAGAAAACTGGGACCCAAGGTGGGTCTGCATTGAAGGAGATCATCTGGATTAAATTTTTCTATCTGCCGCGTCTTTACTCCACTTAATCCGGATTTCCTTGGCCTGTTTCCTCCAGATTACTTGATACAAGCTAAACTCCTTGCACTCCCATTCCGCACACCCCATTACTTAATCTGGATTTAATTCCATGGCCCCTTTTCTTCTCTTAGTCCAAATAAAAGTGTTTATCCTCTGCTTCTCTATGCCTCCTGGCTAACGGAACTCTAAATTAAAGGTCTCCCTTGCTCGACAACCAGTGGAATCCGACTCTAGGGGGCGGTGCTCATCTCCGTTTCCAAGCCGAAGAGCCAGCGCTGTCCGAAGACGTCTCTAATCACACACTAATACATTCAAACCAACAGGCCTCCCACTCCAAACAGGTGCCATTTGAATCCAATGGGATCTACTCCCAAATATTATTGATGTTTGTGTGTGTCTAAACTGTAAAATCCCATTGGACTGCATGGGATTTCTGATGCCTCCAATAAGTGCTTGTCTGATCCCCACCTCTGTTGGCAGAGTTGAGGAAATGATCCAATCCACATAGGGTTGCCAGATCTGATTCAGGCACTATCTGGGGACTTTGGGGGTGGAGCCAGGAGACTTTGGGGGTGGAGCCAGAAGCAAGGATGTGACGTCACTTTTATGATGTCACTAGGCGATTGAACGCCGAAGGGAGTTCTGGCTGTCACATTTGAAGGGACCGCATTCCTTTTAAATGCTTTCCCTCCGTTGGCAATAATGGATGATGGCAGCACCTTCTTTCAGGGCTCACAGGATTAGACTCCCTGGTCCAATCTTCAAAACAGGCACCACCACCTATGCTGAAAATCTGGTGCCTCTACCTCAAAAAACAGCCCCCCTAAAGGCCCAGATACCCACAGATTGATTCTCCATTATACCCTATGGGGACCGGTCTCCATAGGGTATAATGGAGAGCTCAGTGGCCATTCTCCCCCCCCACCACTACCACTTTCTGACAGCCCTGAAGCAGGGGGGGGCCCTCCAAACCGGGGGATCCCCTGCCTCCAACTGGGGATCGGCAACCCTAAATCCACCCTTTGGCGTTTGCTTTCATAGAATCTACTGCAACAGGATTTTGTAGAAAGACGACAACTGACCGCAGGCCGTTAATAGAACAGAGAGTCGTTCAGAACTTGAGCACTAACAAATCCAACACACAGCAGGGAGAGAAAACAAGAAGAGCTAGGCTGAACTGCAATAAACCTCAAACACTAGAGAATGCTTCACAGCTACACACAAGTGGGATAAACTACTCATTCAGCGATATTTACAGTAATTAGACTCTCTGCAGGCTGCTGGTTCTCCAACACACACACACAAGTTGCCAGTCTCCAGGCGGCAGCTGGAGATCTCCTGGAATTACAACCGGTCTCCAGGTTACGGAGATCAGTTCCCCTGGAGAAAATGAGTGCTTTGGAAGGTGGACTGTTGCATTCTACCCAGCTGACGTCCCTGTCCAAACTCCACTGTCCCCAGACTCCACCTCCAAATATCCAGAAATGTCCCAAACCAGGGGGGACAACCCTAGCGCCCCCCTCCCGGGGGAAAGCTCTTTTAAATTCTGACATATAGTTAACAAGAACAAACTATTTTCATAGTAAGGTAAAGCTTTCCCTTGCTCGAAAGCCAGTCGAATCCAACTCGAGCGATGCGGTTGTCATCTCTGTTTCCAAGCCGAAGAGCCAGCGCTGTCCGAAGACGTTTCCGTGGTCATGTGGTCGGCACGACTAGACACCGAGGCACACGGAATGCTGTTACCTTCCCACCAAAGCGGTACCTATTTATCTACTTGCAGTTTCTTGCTTTCGAACTGCTGGGTTGGCAGGAGCTGGGACCAGAGACAGGAGCTCACTCCGTCATGTGGCACTCGGGCCTCGAACTGCTGAACTGCCAATCTACCGGTCTGCAGTTCAGCGTCTTAACCACCTGAGCTGCCGCAGCCCTTTCATAGTACTTTCATAGTTTGTTGTTGTTGTTCAGTCGCACAGTCGCGTCCGACTCTTCGCGACCCCATGGAACAGATCACGCCAGGCCTTCCAGTCTTCCGCCATCCTCTGAAGTTTGCTCAACTTCATGTTCGTTGCATCTATAGTAGCATATTTCAAAAGAGACATCCGTTTCAGAATGCAACCAAAACTTCTAACGTTGTCACAGCCTTTCTTTTTTGCCTCAGGTTCAATCCCCGGCATCTCCAGTTAAAAGGACCGGGTAGGAGGCGATGTGAAAGACCACACCCTGAGAACCTGGAGAGCCATGGCCAGTCTGAGCAGATAATATTGAGCCTGATGGATCAAGGGGCTGATTCAGTATATGGCAGCTTCGTGAGGATGGGCCGTGGTTCAGTGGTGGAGCATCTGCTTGGCATGCGGAAGGTCCCAGGTTCAATCCCCAGCATCTCCAGTTAAAAGGACCAGGCAGGAGGGGATGGGAAAGACCTCCGCCTGAGACCCTGGAGAGCTGTCAAGAGGGGCTGTGGCTCAGTGGAAGAGCCTCTGCTTGGCATGCAGAAGGACCCAGTTTCAATCCCCGGCATCTCCAGTTAAAAGGACCGGGTAGGAGGCGATGTGAAAGACCACACCCTGAGAACCTGGAGAGCCATGGCCAGTCTGAGCAGATAATATTGAGCCTGATGGATCAAGGGGCTGATTCAGTATATGGCAGCTTCGTGAGGATGGGCCGTGGTTCAGTGGTGGAGCATCTGCTTGGCATGCGGAAGGTCCCAGGTTCAATCCCCAGCATCTCCAGTTAAAAGGACCAGGCAGGAGGGGATGGGAAAGACCTCCGCCTGAGACCCTGGAGAGCTGTCAAGAGGGGCTGTGGCTCAGTGGAAGAGCCTCTGCTTGGCATGCAGAAGGACCCAGTTTCAATCCCCGGCATCTCCAGTTAAAAAGGACCAGGCAGGAGGTGATGGGAAAGACCTCCGCCTGAGACCCTGGAGAGCGGCTGCCAGTCTGAGTAGACAATACTGACCTTGGTAGACCAAGGGTCTGATTCAGGAGAAGGAAGATTCATGTGTATTCACACTGGGAAACAAGCTGGTCTAGATGGACGAATCTGGTCTGATCCGGCACGGCTCCTCTCATGTTCTTACTGCCCCCCTCCCAATTTTGTTTATTCATAAAGATATTTGTAGCCCACCACATAATTTGTTGTGGGGGCTCATTGTCCAGTAAAAAAATACACAGCGGCCATTTTAACCAATGCAAGATATACAACATACACAGTCGCGCTGGAAATAAACAGTACGGATAACGCAAGCCAACAAACCCAAACCAGAATGAACCCAAACAAACCCTGGCTTTAAAACCTTGTTATTTCGTCCACGGGAAAGAACGACATGAATTCCATTAAAGAGGACAGGAGGGTACCTAAAGTTCACCGGTTACTTCTCAGCTTTTAATGCAAGAAGCAGGTTCAGGCGGTTTTAGGTCTCTCAGCTTTTTAGAATTCCCCAGGCAGTCTTAAATAAAAAAAACCACACCAGACTTTGCCTGCCTGTTTTTTGTTGTTTTTTTTGCAATGCATCAGCACCCTTTCTGAGAACCAGGGAGAAACGGGGTCACAGGCATTAGCAACTTCTCCCAATCTACTGCAGTGTGGAGACCTTGGTCTCCCTCAGAGAACACTTGAAGGACTCCGTGCCAAGATACCCACATCAACAGATACTTGCATCATAACCTGGCATGCTAGAGTCCATAAGAACACAAGAAGAGCCCTGCTGGATCAGACCAGGGGTCCATCTAGTCCAGCATCCCGTCTCACACAGGGGCCAACCAGTTCCTCTGGAGGGCCAACAACAGGGCAGAGGGGCAGAGGCCTTCCCCTGAGGTTGCCTCCTGGCTCTGAGATCCAGAGGATTCGTGCTTCTGAAGGTGGAGGTTGCCCTCGGTTCAGAGGCTGGCTTATTAGTTCCCTGAAATACATGCTGGGAATCATGTAAGTCTAGGGTTGCCAACCTCCAGGTAATGCCGGGTGATCCTTACCTACAATTAAAACACACAATATGAAATCACAAGCCATAGGCCTGGCAACTCCAGCTGGGGGGGGGGGGGATCGGT